GGCTTTCACCGCCGATTAGTTATGGAAAACCGAATGATGTACTATGATCGCCTACCGAATTCCCTCAAAACTTCTTCGTTTCCCTTTTGGGAGTTGTTGATAACCACAGATCCTGAGCAGAAACGGTACATGTCAGCGAACTGTTGCTCCATCACAGTATAGAATAGTGTGGCAACTCACCGAATGCTACGGGGGCGTTGAATTGCGACTGCTGGAATTCGTTGTGCTTGGCGTCCTTGTAGACCCGACGGTTGTCATTGTTTGTCATTGGCAGGTCCCCGCTGTTGCTCGGCACTTCACGGGAAAACGTGTTGGTCGTGTCGCCAATGTTTGTACCACGTGGGAGCTCTACTGATGCGCCTTCTCCGGTGATCGAATCCTCGCGATTCCACGTCAACTATGTCGATCATTGTCAGCCAAAAATCTCACTTTCGGCGCCAGCAAAAACGAATACTGACCATCACGCTTGATTCACCACCTCCATCATGGAGGTTCCTCTCATTACCAGACAGGTCTGGGGGGTCCGGAAGGCTGCCCGCCCCACGGGTTAAGCCAGACTCTCGCCCCAGTACCGTCTATGTCAAATGCTGTCAGTCGCCATCCGAAAGCAAACGTCATGAAGGATCACTGCATACCCTCATATTTGATCCGGCAATTTCGTGCAGGATTTCCTGTTCGCTCCCGCACAGTTCGGAACGCTGATCTCTCGGCTGACCTGACCATTCACTCGACTGAAGACTATTGAGTAAGACGGCTGTCGCGGTGCCGACGGCATCCTCCAGTGGCAACTATACAGAGTAGTTAGTACGTACCGGTAGTCGGCATCCAGATCTCAGCGGCCGCGATTAGGAAGCACATGATGCCGATACTCACACTTGCATCCGTACTGCCCTGAAGCTCCTCCTGCTCACTTGTGGGAAAATCCTGCTGCTCATTTCCCAGCCCTGCGGGGGTCGACAACATGCCCCCAAACAACATGTTACATAACCAACCCGTCTGCTTGTGCCAATACATGTCGCGATATTCGGAAAGCCAACTCTGGTGGGTGTAGTGTGTGGTGTGTGCGGGGCAACGCAGAGATCGTCGAGGGATATGGGTGTTTTTTTTCCTCGACTATGGCTGTTGTGTTGTTGCATCAGCCCGGCGATGATGGCGGGGACCTTGATGTGCGGGGCTGGTTCTACATGTGTCAAACGGTCGCACACGCATGTGGACTCTGTCTATTGGTCACGTATCATATTTATCAAGAACCAACAGCCGACCGAGGAGCTGAGTCATGCCCGAGGCTCTGAGTCACAATGATTACTCGATGCTCGCCACCGACCGCTGAGATGAGACATGGCCCGTGCTCGGAATCCCTTTTTCTTTCGTATATAGATATTGTTGGATTTTGCGATGCGAGTAGGACCTAGCCATCTACCAACATCTCGACCGATGGACGTAGCAGATTAGTGAGCGGGGAGCATATGGAAACTTCCCATCTCCACCGCCGACCAAGGCGAGCAAATTCAGATTTCTTTTTATGATGGCCAAGTGCTACAGCCTACAGTCTATAGTATTGAGATCGTACTCGAATGCAGCGGCGCCAAACGATGTTGGTTACATATTGGATTTTCTTTTTTTCGAAAATTCCTTTTTTTGCAGAGATAACAGGCGTCTCCGATGTCGGGTTTAGCACCAGATTAGGTAAATGCGAGTTAGGTATCTCCGGAGATCACCACATCAGTGGTAGTGGTAGCTTTATTGGGTGGTGTGATTGAGCAAAATGTAGTAGAAAGTTGTCTCAACATCGCCACGAAGGAACACGAGAGACAAACGAGGGATGAACTACGACGAGGGATCCAAAAGTTGATTCCCCCGACGTCGGTAATCTGACTACATACCTCAACTGAGGCAGTAATATAGCTGCTGATTCCAACAACATATTCTGTTATGCCGATGACAAACCCGACTTCGGGGCTCCGGGAAGCAAGACTATTGATTACCGCATGCGCGAGATCCGCTCCCACGGTTGTGGTGGAGTACAGTAACTACAGACATGGTTATCTACCCTTGGCAGGATTGGCTGTATTAAATATGACTGAGAGTAGCTGCATCTTGTAATCTCATAGGGAGGAACCTAGAGTAAAGCCGCGTTTCCTACGGCTAAGGATCACCCATGATCACTCTCCTGCTGAACATACTGCGCCGGTCAAGAACCGGCTAAACTTCTTTAGCGTCGGGATTTTGACTACTAGTATATACCGATACATGACGGCTGATCCTTCGGCAGATGCCGACTGGTTATCGATAGGTCGACGCCCAAATCCGGCTCGCTAGATACCGAGTTATCGGTTGGCCATGACCTGCGTTCCAGCCAGGCACCGACATTCAGAATGTAATCTACGTAGTCATCAAGGTATTGACTCACCGTGGGGCACTCATTGATGATGGACGTTTCACATCATACGGTAACTAATGCATGAGTCTACCCACTGAGATCGAGAAGTCAATATCAGTTGCCTACCGAAGAACTCCCATCCCGTCCTCGGCTCAAGGCCGGGAAGTCGCTACCACCCCCGCCTTCCATCTAATACACGGCGATGATCTGGTAAGTTTGAATACTACGATGATTAAATAAAAAAATAGGGCTCCGTCTAGTCATCGGAGATGGATCTCTTTCTCAGCTTCTGTCTCTAATCTCGACGGAAAATGCGTCTTTGATGGATGCAGTACCTAGAGCATTGGGCCGGTTTTCAATTAGATCTACATACTATAATCTTACAAAATCAGATATCTCGACCTTCCGAATGCTCGAGCAAGTATCCTCGCCTGTTAACTGAGATTAGATCTATCGTCGATAATCGCATCTAGGTAGGTACATCTCTGTATAACTGTTACCTATAGGCCGAGACAACGGCTGATCCACTGATCTAATCAGATAAACAGGGATGACTACACACTGCCTATAGTTACCGGTATCTGTAGTTACTCTACGATATGAGCTTAGCTGTGCTCGCCAAGAACGAAGACACAACAATCTGCAGATCACCGGTAGATATCTGGGCGTACGATCTCCGATAGCTACAGCTAGATCGAACGGAAGACCGTAGCCACTGTTAGAAACGAGACGAGTCCGCACTGCCACAGTGACACCGGTGGGTACCTAGCGTGTCGGCAATCCTACAGGCTATATACCGCTGTTCTTCAATTCCGCGGTGTCGTGCGGGAATCTTGACGAGTCGGTGGATTTCCGTGAATACGGCATATACGTACGGCTCTTCGGAAACTTCCACTCCCGTAGCATTACTGCTAGGCACCCGTCCAAGGTGTGTGTCTTTGCTTACCTGTACCATTGAAATGTGCTGCACAATAGAAGACGGATACTTATGCCTATGCGTATGTAAAAGCGCGACAGATGTCCACAATGTAGGTATACACGTGAGTCCTGAGGGCAGGTAGTCGGCATTCGTGGTCTGACCCATCACCGGTAAAGGGGTGGATTATGATGGGTGTTTGGCGAAGACAGAGCGTGAGTAGAAGATATATTCGTAGGAAAGGGAATCTTTCATCTCACAGCGTCTTCGGTATCGCATACCTACGTCGTCGGCTGTACAACGCGCATCAAAAAGCACGATTCCGGCGCCACCGTTTCCGTTTCAGTCGTCGGAACTACGGATAGCAAGTGGCAACAGCGATCGCTGGGTTCAGTTAGAACCGTGTAGAGCATATGCGATCGACTCGTGAAGACTTGGCATACGATCATCATCATCTGCAGCCTGCAGGAACAGGGAGCAATACCTACAAGTATAAGTGCTGCCTATCCGCAGCCTGAACGCTTCAATCCATTCCTGTCCATGCCACACGATTCTCTTTCGGAGCAAATATCGATTCATCTGCGGAGTGAACATCGGGCCCTTTTCAGCAGCAAATAGCGGTTCCACCCAACTTTACTGTCCGTTATCGTCACGATCACTTCAGATGGCAGGTAAGCATCCGTCCGACACGGTAGTTCGAGGTCGTTGCGGGATGCGAAGTCCGAATGAGTTTCACCGCGGAAAAGGAGAAGTATCGCCCGACGGTGACGCGACAGAAGCTGATGCGCCGCATTTGATTATGCAGTAGGCTCGCCCACCACCGGCGACGACGATGTGCTGCTTCGAGCGGATAACAACCGGCTTCGGGCCGAAAACCACCGGTTGAGCCTCGAGAACACGAGACTCGTCAGAGAGTCTTGGCTCGCGGCCGAGTGTGAGCGACTCACTGCGGAAATCACAAGGCTTACCTCGGGGGGCACGAGGCCGGTTTTGCCGCCACCAACACCGCCCATGCCGCCGCCGCCGGCTCCAACACCGGGTGTGTATACCGGCAAAGGAAAGGTCGGGGTCATCGATGTTCGGCAGCTGGAGGCGTTGAGCGAGGAAGCGAAGGTCAGGTTGGATACGCTGTTGCGGAACGGTCACGCTGCTGTTGCAGCGGTTTATTGGGATGCGCGGACCGGGGCCTGGATATCATCGTTCCAGACTGTCTGTCGCGACATTATCTGTTCGTTGTCGGCTATCGGTATCGACCTCGTCGCGCCTACGTTTCGAGATACTGATTACGACGGACATTTCCATGATTGGATCGGTAGTTCTGCACCTGGGAGGAGTGCGAACGACAAGTTCATGTCGTGTCTTGCGATGATGAGTACTATCGGGCAGGACTGGAGGGGAATCGGCATATTTGAGCGTGAGGTTGTCTTCACTTTGCGAGAGTTGATTGTTTACCGTGGCATCAAGGATCTCATTTAATTTTTCGTTTCTGCCTTTCCTTTTCTGCCTTCTGTGGATTGGACGAAATGCCAATGTTATTATGTCTTTCATCGAATGGATTTTGTCCGATCTAGTGACCGCAACCGTGAAGCACTTGGGCCCTGTCATAACTTTGCACCTGCGGTTGACCACCAGCTGGAACCTCCACCGAGTCACCGACGCCGGTTTCGCGGCCGTGAGAACGAGTCGTGCGCGCCGAATACTAAGCAGGGATAGTGGCCGGAATGTGTTGGCAGAAGATTGGTGGCAAGGGCTGTGGGCTCGGGAGTGGAGCAGCCGCTAGCACGTTGGCGCTATTATAGCCCGAAGCCAGCGACGGTTTTTCGCTGACTGTCGCGTTCGAGGGAGAGATAAGATTAGATTAGATAGGGCTGGAACGAGGCCAGCCGGAGTGAGTGGATGAGACCGGGCGCACAGCCGGATGGTGACTAAGGACGAGGATATGTAGCTGTAGCCCCGCGTGGTTTTTTGGGCTGGGAGCAAGGAGGAGCTTCTCTCGCTATAGAATAGTTACGGTTAGGGACGCGTAGAAACGACAGGAAGTGCGACACTCGTTCAGGCACCAAAATCACGCGTGACCTTTGAGTTCGGCGGTGTATTCGAGTGTATATTCCGATCTCCAATTGTCACGGTCATCACTCGGCTTTGTATCCGGGTTGTACCCTTGGGCGAATCATGGATCCTCGCCGCGCATTCTTTGTGTTTGTGGATACCATGTCACGCTTGGCCATACTTCATTCTTAGAATTTCTTACCCTCTGCCTGAGTCTCTATGATGTCCCAATAGTCTGTTGGTTCTGATTTCGAGCTTGTGAGCAGCGCCCCGACTTGGCAAGCAGGGGAGGCTGTGCAACACGTGCGAACACGTGAAGATATGTATGACGAATGACCGACCAGCAACATCATCAGCTGCTAGGTGGCACACGCGCGGCTCTAGTAGTACATAGGCGGGGTAGGACACCACGACAGCTGGGGCCTGCATCACCGCTCCATCGGCATCGGTTGCAACGAACTCAAGTCTCACACTACAAATGGAAGGTCTAACTGTCGAGGCATCGGTTGCAGGGCTCCTCGAAGTCAGCGACAAAGCGATCGACTTTCTCTCCAACGTTCCCGACGCTCCGCATATCGCGCGCGACCTGCTCGCCGAAGTCGAGGAACTACGTGTCATCTTCCGCCGGCTCGAGACGTTCCTGGCCAGCGCCAACCATGGCGAAATCCGGCAGGATCGCGCGTCCCAGGTCGAGGTCGACGACCTCGTTACCATCTTGACCGGCACCGTGTGTACCTTCTCCGAGCTCGATGGTGTGCTGGAGCAGTACGACGGTGGCGACGGGAAGAAGAATCGGCGTCCTCAGTGGGGTCGACAGAGCCTCGATAGGATCTCCAGGAACCTGCATAGCCAGAAGCGCCCGCTAGATGCGTTACTCTCGATGTCAGTCCGCCATTTCTATCCCGCTGTGCTGCTTTGTTGCTGATACCGCTGTGCAGCATGATGGGGGACGAAGCCTTGCCCGAAAGTCCGCAAACTCAAATCGGAACGGACGAATTTAAAGCAATGGTGGCGAACTTGCTATTAGACCCTGATGTTGCACGGCGGATGCGTTCTTTCGCTGCTACTGCGGTTGACCCCGACGCATCCTCTGCCGTGACGAGATCAACGGTACGCCCAAGGGCGGCCACTCTCTCTGCTCCCGTCGGGGACGGCGCTTCCATCCTTACAGAATCCTCGCATAGAACGCCCGCTTCCTTTCATCGCGCGTTCGAGAAAACTCTGGTCAAGAGTCGGGTGTACAAGAAAGTAACACGGAAAACGTCGATCGACTCCTTCCACACGACCGACACGATGAGCACTCAGTGGTCACAGGTCAGCGGACTCAGCCTGGCGCAACTCTCAAATATATCGATTGTCTGTCTGCCGGTATATATCGTCGAGTTGAATAACGGACACATGTACCAGCAGAAGGCACCAAGTGGGATCGGTAGCGGAGACGGATCGTTCGCGACTGCAACTCTCATAAGATTACAGTGCCTTCGGCAGGGCGGCCTCAAGATTAGCACAATGATGCGCCTCCGCCTACTGTCGCCCACAGCACGGGTCTCGCTATTACACACCTCCGCCAAGAGCGGCGATGTCGACACGATCAAGATGTTGATAGATAACCTGAAGGTAAATCCGGACGCGTTGGATGACTTGGGCAACGCGGCACTGCACGACGCTGTGACGAACGGCCATATCGCCGCCACACGGCAACTACTCGACTGCGGTGCGGACATAAACGTCATGGACAACGATGGCATGTCCCCACTCCATCACGCGGCCAGCCACGGTTCCGAGTCCATCGTACGACTACTCCTCGATCTAGATGCCAATATTGAGGCCACGGAGAAGCGAGGCAGGACACCACTGCACTTCGCCGCCTCGGATGTCGACGGCAGTAGTTTGCAAGCGCGTCCGCACGATTCCGATGTCGCCGTGCACACTCCCGGTAGGGTGTCCGTGCATGACAATGCGACGCCGAAGAAGCTGCAGGACACCATACGCCTTCCGCTGCATTCCGGGACTACCGTCACGACCACCGATCTCGCCCACGACTCCGAACCGCTTCCATCCGCGGCGCCGCGCCGGAAACCCGCGGTAATGCGATTGTTACTAGATCGTGGCGCGAATATCGACGCCGGAGATCTGTGCGGGTCCAGGCCGCTAGACTTCGCTGAGGAATGTGGGATCCCGTGGGCTGTGAAGATGCTGGTGGAGCACGCTTACGACGTCGCGGGGAGGGACGACAATACCAATACTCGGCTACCGATCGCGCCGCAGTAGCGGAACCTGGAAATCGATGTACGGATCTCTCGCGGCTTAAGCAGCAATGGATCGAAGAGGAGTAGTAGGACGGCGTCGCACCCGGGCTCGGGATTGCCGGTGAGTCGCGAAGGCGCGAGACCTGATGCCTGTGCTCGGGAGCGAAAATGAACGGGTAGAGGGAGAAAGTGGATGGCAGGTTGAGGTGTTTCGGGTGTTTCGATGTTACGGACAGTGTGTGTATGCCGGCGACTCACGCGCTTTCGACGGTCGTGGTGCTGCATTATCCTGGTGTGCGAGTGGTGAATTAAGGTGCGAGAGGATAGATTACTGAGTTTCGGCGTGCTTGATGCGAATATTTCCCAACTGTATTTTCGGGTATTTAACGATCGAGGGTTCCGATGTATGCGAAATGATTTATGGAGTTGACGTGAAGGTTTTCGTGGCTTTGCTAACACTTGGCATCTTCTTCTGTCATTCGTCAACTTCCCATCATTAATACCTAGGCCGATGTATGGCAGGTTACGTGGAGAGCAGCCTAGGCGTCTCCGAGTAGGCATAGCTAGTCGACAACACCCAGTAGGAAGCGCAACACATGGGGGCCGTACCGTCGTAGTATCTACCGTGCGGCGAAATAACCGCATGGAGGTGTTCGGATAGGGATTCTTCCGTCCAGCTCACTGAAAGTACAGTTCCATGCAGTGCCCAGACATGCCGGCCATGGCGGAATACGAGAAATATCGGTAAGCTGGTGCCAAGATCGGGAATGTGGTGTAGTTTGACAGTTTCGACCTGCAGACTTTGCGTCTGCGTGAAAGCAGGATGATCACTGGAGATCACTCGTGCATGGCTTCCCGCACGCGTTCGTCCCGTATTTCGCCTGCTTCACATCAGTGTCGAGAGCGATGTAGTTACCAGTTGTGTCTTCGCCGGATATGTAGGGCACAGCGAATTTGAGCTGAGACCGATAGTTCGGATGGGTAGTGGAGGGCTGTTACGTTTATTGATAGGGTGGCCGATCCTCCAGAATCCCACCATCGAGCCTTGCACTCGTCAATTCTCGCCATTCGCGTTTTCCTTGCATTGCGCATGCCTTAATCGAGTAAAACATCCAACATTTCAGCTCTATGAGATAAGTTGGAAGCTAAGGCTGTTTTCTTCACATCCCCGGCCACTGTCTCCGAAACAGCCCAGGTTGGTGATTGGTCGCCGTGGGCGCCTTGATGATGCGGTCGACAACCAAGTCGATCTGAGGATTTCTCTTGAGATCCATGGGTTCTCGTTTCAACTGTTATCCTGCAATAGAATGGTGTAATAGATGTCAGCTCACTTCAGTTCGTGCAATACCTTCTCCAAGGCCGCGTCATGTTAACTGCAAAGATCACCGTCCAAGCGACAGCGGGCAGTCACGAATCTGCGGTGCTGCTGGCGGTTGCGAGCGGCGGGATGGGAGTCCCCAAAGATACGTAAGTACGGTACGTATCCGGGTCATAAACTACGTCGCCAGTCGGTGCGCAGCGGTACCGTGCGGATTCACCTCAACCTCGGAGCGGGGAAGCAACTGCTGCATCCCGCTAGAACGGTCAACCTTGTCGTAGAAGCACTTTGCAAGTTGCAACCTGTCACCCGACCCAACGTCAATGCTCATGTCGATGTACATAGAATACGGAGTGGGGGATCTTCAACCTTCAGCCTTCGGGAGTGAGATGCAGGCAGCACACCGGAGGTGCAGGGTTCCATTTGGCGAGTGTCGATTGGTCCCAGCGAGTCCGCATGAAGCAAGCAGGTCGCCATGGCGCTCACCCTAGTAGGGTTTGGAAGACCGAGCGGCAGTCAATCTCGATTCCATCTATCAGGAGAGTAAAGCTCGGTAGAATACCGTATGTACGGGAGGTAGAGGAGAGGAGAAAATAGTTAATTGAAGTCAGTTGAGTATATTGAGGTAGAGTGGAGTGGGATGGAGTGGAGTGGCGTGGAGTAGCCGGCGGTCAGTGCGCCTGGCATCCCTGTGCTGTTACCAAAGTCGCACCACAGTATATGGCAGTAATTGGCGAGTGATGCGCCCGGGGAAGGCTGACTTACTTCACGCGCAGCGGAGCAGAGCACGTATGTCAGTGATAAATCTACAGCTGTGTCGATTAGCAGCCCTCTCGTTCTCTCCAGCCAGTGGGTGCTCGGAGGTGGCATGCATATTTCTTGCAGACGCCTGCTTCCGCCAATCGGATCGGTGATGCCATCGCTACCGGCTGGGGCCTAAAGCCGCCGAAGCTCGTGCTGTGGGGGAGTCTGGATATTGTAGAGAGTTGACCCACAAAAACAAGCTATATTAACTGTGCTCCTCATTGTCTGGGCATCAAAGGGCTTCGTTTCTCAGCGACATCAACTAAACGCTGGTGGCTTCGTAGAGCCCCCAGTCACCACTTCAATGAGCCTGTTTACTCCTTTCGTTAGGATTTCAATCCTTCTTCTCAGTCGAAAGCTTTTCATCCTCGCCGTCGGCATCTTGGTCGCAGCGGACTTAGTTCGAGCACAACAACCGGTCGCCGAACTGGGTGGCTGGCCGCCCGGTGCTTTCACCCTCTTCGTCGGACTCTGGATTGCAGCCCAGTCCGCTCTCCAGCGAAACTACGATACTTCCTTTCCGCCATGCACTCGGCCGGGGCTCCACCGCATTCCGTACATCAAGCGCCTACTATGGGCGGGTGACACCGTGGGCCAGTCGGTGAACGTTCTGGTGCTGTCGTCGCTGAAGGCACCGAAGTGGAACCTACTGTCCGAGTACACCACCGACGACGACGAGCGGTCCGGCGTCTGGGAGTGGGACATCCTGACCGTCTACAAGGCTGGCGAGTGTCCCACGGCGAAGTTCACGAAGATGCCGCCCACAGATCCTAGCGGGAACTTCATCTACAAGATGACGATCGAGGCGCCGGCCACCTGTGGGCTCCAGATTGGAATCACCTTTACAGCGAATCCAGCCGTAGACATCGACGCCGCCACCACCGTCCTCTTCGACACGCTGTTCGACGTGCGATACGCGTGCTGCCCATGTGCCGATCTTCTGCTGCTGCTGTGGCGAGGCCTGCAGAATTACCAGGCGTCGTGGGTACTGCGACACGGCGATGGCGACACCGCCGTCGCCACCGGCGAGCTCTACAGCTGCCAGAGGATCGTGCAGGCGGTCAAGGACTACCGGGACTGGCCGAAGGAGGTTTTGAACTGGTCACACGGGGGGGACAAACTGCGGCTGTACGTCGAGAACCCGACCGACACGTCCGACGAGGCGGCACCGGGATCTACCATCCGCAACGATATATTCCACGCCGGACAGTTAGTGGCGATGCTCATCTACGCCGAGAAGTTTCCGTGTGCGACCGCGGTTAACCCACTCATCCCGTTGATATACCGGTGGAGCCAGGGACTGCTGCCGACTACCGACAACTTCCAGTTCAACCTACGCCTGTTCAAGAAAGCCGGTGCTCCACCGTCCCCGCCTGGTCTCGAATCTGAGAAAGAAGACGATGCTGCAGAAGAACCACTCCCGACAGCCCCGATCAGGCGGTCGGAAGCCTTCGCTGCACCCCGACCGCCTCCCACACCCTTGATGGACTGTACCAAGGACACGACTTGTTCAACGGCCTCCTCCCTCCCCATCGACGACCAAGAGAAACTTCTAACCTACTACGAGATCAACCTCTCTGAAGGCGAGATCCAAATCGACGGGGGCGGCTACCTCGGCTCGCAGCGATACGCCTGGATCTGGAGCACAGTGGTAGGCGGGATGATCGCTTTTTTCGTCGCGCTCGGCGGGACTGCGAACCCGAGTTTCGCCACGGCCATGGGGCTCAGCTTCCTGCGGCCCTACAGCAATGACGACAATTACACGGACGCGGGCTCACCGCTGACATGGGGGGGCCGGCGCCGGATCCGGTGGAACGAAGACAAGGCGTGCGGCATCTTCAGCGGGCAGACCAATCTGCGCCTCGGAAAGACCGGCAACTCGCTACACCGCGGCTGCATCTTTCTCGCGATCAGCTGGGTGGCGTGGTGCTGGCGCAATGAGCTCCGCACAGCCCTCGCCTTCAGCGAGCCCACGCCGGCCGCGACGTGGGTCAAGTGGGCCGCTGTCGCACTCGAGGTGCATGCCGGATTGTGGATGTTCCTCGGCGCGTATCTCTACTACGTCCGCCGGATATTCTCGGTAGTGGTGGTGAATATCATCGCGGGGGTGCACGTGATTGTCGTAGTGGTGCTGAT